CACTTCCGGGTGATGCCAGAGCCCGGAAGCTGGGCCGCCTGGGGAAAACGGCCCAGGTCACGTGAAAGGGAGCGCGCTCCCTGAGCTCCGTGCGCCCCCTGCTGCCCGCACGCAGCCTCGGCCGAGATGGGTTAGGCGCTTAGAGTCCCCCTTGGCTTCCAACCCTGGTGCCTAATGCAAACTCAACAGAAAGGGGAAAACGGACTTGAACAATAAGAGCTTGCCACAAACCTTCTATAGTTCGTCCTTGTCCAGCATAAAATATCGTAGCCTGACAGTGTTTACTTACTAAACTAACTCCAGACGGGAAAAATTATAACCATGAACTTCCACTGACATCGTGGTTTACCGTGATGGCTCCTGCTGCTTTCCCAGCTTTGGAATGAGGCAAGAGGATGGCGAGTTGGATCCAGCCTGGGCTACATAGTGAGTTCCTGGCCATACTGGGTATAGAGTAAAACCCTGTCTCAAAAAAAATTTTTTTTCCTCCAGGCTGGAGATAGCTCAGTAATTAAGAGCACTGACTTCCAGAGAACTAATGGCAGCTCACAACCAGTTGTTACTTTGTTACTCCAGTTTGAGCAAGTAACAACTCTGATGCCCTCTTCTGGCCTTCTAGGGCACTGCCTACATTTGGTGCACAGACGTGCAAGCAGGCAAAACACCCATATACACAGAAAAAATAAATCTACCCAAATGACAGATGACAGACTGCTGCTATAAACTGTCCTCTAACCCACATAGATGCTGTGGTACGTGCTTGAGCGCGCGCACGTACACACAGAGATTTTCTTTAAAAAAAAAAAAAATCACACAGGCCGGGCGGTGGTAGTGAATACCTTTAATCCCAGCACTTGGGAGGCAGAGGCAGGTGAATCTCTGAGTTCAAGGCCAGCCTGGTCTACAGAGAGTTCCGGGACAGGCGCCAAAAGCTACAGATAAACCTTGTCTCAATTAAAAAAAAAAAAAAAAAAAAAAAACATTCAATGGGGTTGGAGGTATAGCTCAGTGGCTGGCAATTCCTTGAGTTGAATCCCCTGCAGGTAAAAATGCTTACCACCAAACCTACTGACCTGAGCTCCGTCCTTGGTGGAGAGAGAACTCCCCCAAGTTGTCCTCTGGTCTTCACACCTGAACTATATATAGTACATACAGCACACCCACATATAAATACATACAATAAAATGAATTTTTGAATAAAAAGTAATGGCTCAGTGGTTAAGAGCACATACTGTTCTTGTAGAGGACCCAAATTCAGTTCCCAACATCCACAATGAGTAGTTCACAACTGCCTGTAACTACAGCTCCATGGGACCCAACACCCTTTTCTGAACTCAGAGGCCATCAACACCCAAATGTGCACATACCCAAGCACATATACACATAATTTTAAAATTAATCTTTTCAAGAAACTAAGGTGACTTTTAAGTGGTCTCCATAATATCAACAAATTGAGTTATAAGTGCAATATGATTGGTGTTAAACTCAAAGAAATTCACAAAAATAGAAAATTCACATAGTTTATACCTTCGGCCACTTGGTACACATTTTTCCCAACACAACTGTCATTGAACTATTAAAAATAAAACCCACTCAATGGTAGGAATCAGGAAACCAGCTTTAGAGAAGCAGGATAGTAAGTCAGCTACCCCTCAAGTTAATCTAGATATTGGTTTTATGTCACCTATCACCTCACTCTAAAATGTCATCTTTGCCTCCATCTTCTCTACTGCCGACAAATGCTCCAGCATATTAATGTTCTTTTCATGATTACTATATTGAACGATATTACTATATTGTCATAGGAAAATGTCTTCAGTAGGTTTCAGGTTTGCTGGGAGTTCAGTAATTAAGTACCTCCAAATTGCTTCAAATGTGACATTAATATATTCTTAATGAAGTCGCCAGGGTGAGGAAACTACAGCTGGCACTGGGATGGCCCTATGGTTAAGAGTACTTCCCACAACTGCCTGTAACTCCAGCTCTAGGGGATCCAACACGCAATCCGGTCTCCACTGGCACCTCCATGAAGTGGCACACATAAAGAGCAAATCTCTTAACTTTAAAAAAGGCAACATCTGTATTCTCAAAATACCAGTGTTTTGTACTTGATAAGCTTAATGAATTTAAATAACAGAAAAATACATGACAATTTCATTTCAGAGTAAAGTGAAAAACAAGACTTTATATTCAGCTTAATCTTTTTTTTTTTTTGGTTTTTCGAGACAGGGTTTCTCTTGTGTAGCTTTGCGCCTCTCCTGGAACTCACTTGGTAGACCAGGCTGGCCTCGAACTCACAGAGATCCGCCTGCCTCTGCCTCCCGAGTGCTGGGATTAAAGGCGTGCGCCACCACCGCCCGGCATATTCAGCTTAATCTTAATAGTGCCTCAAAGAATTTTAAAGGATTAGCAATACTTGTGAGGTAAATTGTCTCAATTCTTCAGCCATAGAAATACATAACAAGGGCTGGAGAGATGGCTCAGAGGTTAAGAGCACTGGCTATTCTTCCAGAGGTCCTGAGTTCAATTCCCAGCAACCACATGGTGGCTCACAACCATCAGTAATCTGATGCCCTCTTCTGGCCTGCAGGTGTATATGCAGGCAGAACATTGTATACATAATAAATAAAATAAATCTTTTAAAAAAAAAAACAAGCAGGGTGATGGTGGCACACGCCTTTAATCCCAGCACTCGGAAGGCAAAGGCAGGCAGATCTCTGTGAGTTCAAGGCCAGTCTGGGCTAGAGTGAGTAACAGGACAGGTTCCAAGAACAAAAAAAAAAAGAAAGAAAGAAAAGAAAAAAGAAATACATAACAGAGAAGTTAATTTAGTGACCTCCCAACTCTAGGCAATAATAAAATTCCAAGGAAGGTGTTAGAGGTACAACGGACGACATTTTCATGAAAGGGTTGAACCTACCTGGCTGAGTGTAATAGGAAAGCATACAGGTTAGAATATTGTGAGGGCAAGAATCAGTTCACTACTGCTTCATTTCTACTAGTGGTTACGGTCGTGTTAAAATCATCCAGCTGGGGCCGGGCGGTGGTGGCGCACGCCTTTAATCCCAGCACTTGGGAGGCAGAGGCAGGCGGATCTCTGTGAGTTCGAGGCCAGCCTGGGCTACAAAGTGAGTTCCAGAAAAGGCACAAATCTACACAGAGAAACCCTGTCTCGAAAAACCAAAAAAAATAAATAAGTAAAATAAAATCATCCAGCAAAGGAGGGCAAGATGGGTCAGTAGGTGGTGCACTTGCTGCCAAATCTGGTGACCCGAGTTTATTCCCCAGGACCTCCAGTTAAATGAGAACCTACTCCCAAAAGTTGTCCTCTGACCCTCACATGTGCACTGTGGTAAATGTGGGCACAAACACAAAAATTAAATAAATAGGGGTTGCTCAGTGGTAGTGCAAGACCCTGGGTTCGATCCTCAGCTCAAAAAACAAATTAAATAAATGTAAAATGTTACATGCAGCTGACAGCTATCATTTACTCAACAAAAAAGAAACCATAGTGAACATTACTTACCTCATTATAAATGAGTGCTAGTTCTGAGGTTAAAAGGTTTAGGATCTAACATGTTAAAACATCTTCTTTCCCCCCTCCCCCACCCCTTCACCCCGGAACTGAGGACCAAACCCAGGGCCTTGCCTAGGCAAGCGCTCTACCACTGAGCTAAATCCCCAACCCCCTAATACTCTTTTAAATTTGTTTAATCACATTTCAGATTAATTTGTATTTAAATGGCTTAATACCAGTTTGAACATTTCTACAGATTTCATAAAAATGTTCAAGTTTTTCGGTTTTGGGGGGCAGGGTCTCAACCATGTACGGTCTGACTAGCCTGGAACTTGCAGTGATCCTCCTGCCTTCCCACCTCTTGAATGCTGGGGTTGAAGGTGTATGGCACCACATCCAGCTGAAGTTTTATCAAAAAGTATTAATATAGTTACAAATCTTACAAGTACAAATCTTACAATCTTTCAGTAAACAGAATGTGAAATTCCTAGCAGATAAACTTAGAGATTGCTAAAGGCAACTTTTTTTTTTCAAGACAGGGTTTCTCTTTGTAGCTTGCGCCTTTCCTGGAACTCACTCTGTAGCCCAGGCTGGCCTCGAACTCACAGAGATCCACCTGCCTCTGCCTCTCGAGTGCTGAGATTAAAGGTGTGCATCACCACCGCCCAGCTTAAAGGCAACTTCTATAACTCAGTTTTGTATCTGGGTTCTCTAAATCTAACTAATACAAATAATGCTACTCGACAAGAACTCCATGTTCTGCTTACTAGAACATTATAAATGTAACTGTAGACTATAGCTCTAACCAAAAGAATGGAGCACCTAATTCAATTAATGTTTCACTTAGTTGACATCTTACACAGCAAGTTCAGTGCCATATACTAAACTCAGGACAATCCCCAAACCCCAATGTTGTATATTTCTAGAATTACAGAAAGCCAACAGGAGAGGCCAATGAGTCAAGTATCAAAATGTTATCACTTTAAACCCATGATTAACAGATACTCTTATTGTTATGGCAACAATAACTAGGAAGTATGTGACAGAGCCTACCTAAGGATTATGCTGAAAACCCACCACCTAATTAAGGCAAATGTGTTATGGGGGCCGAGGAGCCAGTCTTTAGCAAACCTAGTTCACATTTACAGGATCATTATTCACTTGGGTTTGGTGACAGTTTAAATTCTCTAAGCAGGAGAGGAAGGGAGTTAATGCCAACTCCAAATATAACCATGAGGTAGAAGGTACTAGGCATAACCTATCTGAACCAACCTCTTGACCGAGCTCTGTGGTTATTTATACACTAGATGTGATTTCAGCTTACTATAAAGTCGTCTTCAGATCATAGATTGCCCTCATACCACTTCAAAGAAAAAAGCCATTTTTAAGAGACAGCACAGCTTTTTGACTCAAATGCAATGCTTAAATAAATGAAAAGTCATCACCCTTGGCTTCATTTACAAAGGAAGAAAACAACCTAAAATGAAGGTTTCAGAAGTACTTTATTTTCTCTTCAATATGCTATATTTTAGTGAATACATGATTCTTTGCCTTGGCATCACTTCTAAGTTGATTTCGACACAATCACTTGATTATTGTAGCAGCTGGCATGACTACTGATCTCTCCATTCCTTTGGGGTGACTCTGCCAACAGGAGACAGGTTCCATTCTATGCCAATTTGTGTTGCTGTCTGTAAGAATTAAAAGACTGTCAGTTATACATATTTAAACCACAGTCCATTCTCAACTTGGAAACTATTTCTTTAAAATTACAAAGAATTCTGCTTCTTAGGTTAACAGCAAACAGAATGCTACCAGGGATACAGTGCTTTTCATAGAGGTCAAAACCAACTGCTGTCCTAATTCTCCAAAGCAGTTTGCTTAACTCAACGTTCAGACTCGAGGGAAATGTTCTAAATCTGCACTGTCCAATACAGGAGTCACTGGCCACATCTGGCTGTTAAATACTTGGAATGTGGCTAGAAAAATGAGGAAATGAATTTTAAATTGTTCTTAATTCAAAATTATATTTTACATTTCCTTCCCCTTCAAAATCTTGCCTGTCAAGCACAACTACCTAAGAAAACTCATTTCATTTTAATATCTGACTTCAAGGCTGAGGTATAGATCATTAAAGGTGTATGAATATGCTTAGATACACAAGACTCTGGGTTCAATCCCCAGCACCAAAATTAATAGTATCTTTCATTTCAGGCAAGGAGATTGGACTGTCCCTTCTGTTTTACTGAGCTAGGGCTCCATGTGGTTCAGGGTAGCCTCAGACTTGCTACGTAGCTGAAGATGACCCCAACTCTTGATCCCCTGCACGTCTAGTGTTGGGATTCCAGATGTGTACCACTTCACTCAGCAATTTGTATTGCTTACACCCAAAATACATTGCTCAAAATTTCAAAATAACCACTTTTAACCAGAAAATACGTTGTTAAGCAACAGATGCAGAGCCCTGAAATATGGAAAACAAGTTACATTTCATCTATCAAGAAAATTATACTCAGGTTTTGGGTGGGGATTTTTTTGTTATTGTTTTTTGTTTGTTTGTTTTGGAGACAAAGTCAACTATGTAGCCCAAGCTGGCCTCACACTTGCTCTAGCTGCTTATTCTCCCAAGTGCTGGGATTGCAGGGAACTACAACCACACTGGTTTGTGCACCAGTTCGGATTACAGAATTTTAGAAGGAAATCTGATCACTGAAGTATATCCGGAAAGGTGACTCAAAATATGAAAATCCAAAAAATATAGATGTTTTAATCTTAACAAATTAAAGACACTATGCTAATGGTTTCTGGGATTTGGTTTGGTTTTTTAGTGCTGTGGATTGAACCCAGGGCCCCGTCAATGTCAAGTATGTGCTTTACAACCTACGACAGAAATCTTCGACTAGCTGATGGCTGTCATATGGAAATATGATGGGTCAGAATATCTGACCAGTCTAACCTCACAACTGCAATCCTCTTGTGTAAACCTCTCAAGGGCTGGGATTACAGGCATATACCACCATGCTTGGGCTCCACAAATAAGATCCTTCTAATAGCTACACAATATAGAAAAGGGCTGTCTTGTGATTCAACAAGCAATTTGTTACTAGAAACATTAAGAATAGAAGATGGGGGCTGGAGCAATGACTCAGCAGTTTGATTCTGGCTATACAGTTGCCTTGCTTGTTCTGCCTTGATAGAGTGTTCTAGCTATACACTTAAAAAGTTTTTGTTGTTTGTTTTTTCACAAAATAAAATTAATAAGAAAACGGGGCTGGAGAGATGGCTCAGAGGTTAAGAACACTGACTGCTCTTCCAGAGGTCCTGAGTTCAATTCCCAGCAACCACACGGTGGCTCACAACCATCTGTAATGAGATCTGGTGCCCTCTTCTGGCCTGCAGGCATACATGCTGACAGAATATTGTATACATAATAAAAACAAATCTTAAAAAAAAAAGATGGGTGAATGCTGAATGCAAATGAAGACATAACCCACATTGGGTGGATAGTCTTTCAAATCCCTCCTTCACTAGAAATTTAACATTCCCAATACATAGACTAGCTAAGAATAAAACAACTCTAAATGAAAAACCACTGACCTGAGTATAGCTCAATGACAGAGCACTTGCCTACCATGTACAAGACCCTGAGTTCAATCTCTAGCACTGCAAAAGAAGAAATAATCATTCCAGGAATTATCTGTCCTTAGGCAAGAGGCTTGCTGATCAGGGACATTTTTTGTTTCATGGATTGGATCTCTTTGGCATAGTAATTAAAGTGTAACTTTGACTCTCACACTATGTAGACCACACTGGTCTCGAACTTTCAGAAACTTTAGTGACCATCCAGACTCTGCCTCAGAGGTGCTAGAATTACAGGTATGGACCTCCATGCTGGGGAGATTCCTGCATTTTTAAATGAGCTCCCAGGAAACTGCCCTGCAGCTCAAAAGGAGAGCACTTACCTAGCATATGAAAGGCCTGGAGATTAAATCCCAGTGCCATGCCACAAAATAAAGTGCTTCAAGGAGTTTGAAAATAAAAAAAAAAGAAATAATCAACTAGTAGTACTTACATATGTCCATGTAGAAACACAGAAGAGGAATCCACCTGCTAATATAGCATTTCCATATTTGTCATGGAAATCAGGTGCCCGTTTCTGGTGGCTCTGCCTAGCTACCACTTGCTGAATGCTTCGAACTTAAAAAAGAACACAGAAATATATGTGTCAATTATTAAAACAGAGAGAACACAACTACAAAGCAGGAAAGGTAGTGAACGCTACATACTATGCAATTCAACTAAATGTTAACCACATTACACATAGGAATAAGTGGCCTGGAGGTGGTAGTGCACACCTTTGATCCCAGCACTTGGGAGGCAGAGGTAGGTGGAGCTCTGTGAGTTTGAGGCCAGCCTGGTCTACAGAGAGAGTTCCAGGACAGCCAGGGCTAGATAGGGAAACTCTTGTCTCAAAAAAAAAAAAAAAAAAAAAAAAAGAAAAGAACAAGTAAGCACCTTCTCAAATGCTCTGAAAATGAAATGCCAGGCCCTGGGGTTCACATCTGTAATCTCAGCACTTGGGAAACTGACAGGAGAATTGCCACGAGTTCAAAGCCAAACTGAGTAACACAGTGAATTCCAGGCTAGACTGAGCTAGAGAAATGCTCTATCTCAAAAATATACACATGGTAAACTGACATGCAGACAGAAGCAGGATTAAATAAATACAACAAAGTGTTAACACATAATGGTGAATGTTCTTCATGCTAGTCTCAATTTTCTGGATTCCCAGAATAAAAAGTTGGAGGACAGGAATGATAGCACACACCTTTTAATCTAAGCTCTCCAAGGCAGAGGCAGGCAGCTCTCTTTGAGTTCAAGTATAGCCAGCCTGATCTATATAGTAAGTTCCAAGCCAGCTAGAGCTATACAGTGATATCCTGTCTCAATAAATGGTTGGAGGAAAAGAAAAATTGGAAATGTATGTCAGTAATGGTTTATTGGATACAACTCATTAATTTGAATTATCTCTGACTTCAATTTTCACTAAAATTTACTCAACATTGCTCAATAAAATAAAGTATAAAAGGGAAAATAAACTCAAAATTATCACATTAATACATATCAAATGTTTATCACCTTAAAATTACAACAAAATATCTCCAAACTATGGCAAGCCAAATTTTAAAACAATTAGAAATGAATAAGGCTTGATTATATAATAAGAGTATATATTTGTAATCCCAGCACTTGGAAGATGGAAGTGAGATCAGGAGTTAGCCTAGAATGCATGAGACCCTGTCTCAAAAAAATAAGAGTATAGGGGGCTAGAGAGATGGCTCGGTGGGTAAGAGTAGGCTGCTCTTCTAGAGGACCTGGGTTCAATTCCCGACACCCACATGGCAGCTCACACCTGTCTGTACCTCCAGTTCCAGGGGATCTGACACCGTCACACAGACATACATGCAGGCAAAACACTAATACACATAAAATAATTTTTAAAATGGAATATATAAAAATGTGTAAGATAGAGATTTTATCATTGGGTAATTTCTAGCCTAGAAGTGAATATTATATCTAAAGACAAAAATCACTGTAGTACAAGAAAGTAGAATTAACTAAGTACTTTGAAAGGCAGGGAGCATTGTTTATATAGATGTAGAAAAGTAGAATTAAAATTGACAGAGATAGACAGATCTACTGTACAAGAAAGCCAATCAAGTTTTGATGAAGAACAAGGTATATAGGCAGGTTAATAATGAATAAAACTAGAAAGAAGTGGTAAATACCAAGAAAAGCTATTAGTTTTGTTTTTGTCTTTCCTCTCCAATCTAGGTATTACGTACGTCCTTATTGTTTTAAGGGTCTTTAAAGGTGCTTACAGATACAGTGGAAAGAGAGCAATGTTGATCTGAGACGTGTTGGTTCACACCTGTACTCTGAGCCCTTGGAAAGCTAAGGAAGAAAAATTGCACTCAATTTTAATGCCAGCCTGGACTAGAGTGAGACCATTTCAAAAATAAAATAAAAATGCTGTCCACTCACTCACACTTAAAAACCTAATAGTTTCAGGCTGGGATGAGCGCTCAGTGGCAGAGCTTTGGGTTCAAACCCCATCACCTCCCAAAAATAAGATAAAAATAATGGTCTCTACGTGGTATAATCATGATAACTACTCAACCATCATATAGTTCTTTAGCTGTTTTACTTAGCTTTCATTTTCACCTTTAACCAGCCACACCCAGAGAAATGGAGTTCAGTTGGTGTAGTGCTTGCTGAGCATTCCCTAGACTTGATCCCTAATGCTGCAGAAACACACACACAATTAAGTCTATAAAGGTACTAAAGTACTTGTAAGCCCACCACTTGGGAAATGGAGGCAAGAGGATCCTCAATTACAAGTTGAGGATCATCCTTGGCTATATATTAAGTTGGAGGTCAACCTAGTCTACATAAGACCATCAGATAACAGCCACATCCAGAATAAGCAAATTCATAAATATTTCATAATGTATTCTGCCCCTAGAACACTTAAAGGTGAGTATAAGAATTCAACACTGAGAAACAAAACACACAAACTCTTAAGATAACCTTTTCCTGCAGTATAAAAATCCCTAAATCACTTAAAGGTCAAATAAATTGAGATTACCAAACTGTTGTTTCAACACTGATTTACCAAGTGGATTTCCTTAAGTCTCTGCTCTATAAAAAAAAAAGGTGTGTGTGTGGGGAGACGGTGTTTACTGACCAGAGACCGGTTAAATTTCTTATGAAATATGTATTATTTACTAATCTCTGTTTTTCAAAAACAAGAAAACAAGCTCATAAAGTTAAATGATTTGCCCAAAGTGAAAGAAATAATAAATACATTTGTGGCATCACATCAGATGGTTTCTATTTTTTTTTCAATTATTCCTAAAGTATTTCAGTGTTTAGAACATAATTTGTGATACTCCTAATATTGCTGTAAAATAAAAATAAAAACATGCTTAGAAAAGCAAGCTAAAGGTAGTTGTGTAAAGTCACCTCTACTCACATTACTGAAGGTCACCTTCAAAGAAAAGCAATTATGAAAATGATTTTTTTCTCTCCAATCCAATGCATTCTCCATATACAACGCCAATCTCAATTTTCCACGTATTTGCCTTACTTTCAAACAGGAAAAAATGACCACGATCGTTTTCACAATAGTTACTAGTCCGTTTATAACCTACAGATGGCTAAAGCTGCCAGGCTACCACTTAGGATTTCCCCTTGCTATGAATCCAGGTGAGGTAGATTTAGTGTCCTACAACCGTTACAGTACAAGATCAGTTCCTCTATTTGGGTTAACAAATAAATACAATCCCAAAGCTAAAAATTAGAACATCGCTTAAGGAGAACTAGGTGTCCGCCAAGCGTTCTTCCTGGAAATCATAGGTCCCTGAAGAATGGGAATGCAGAACTAGGCTAGGAACACAACGACGGGATGATAAAGCCACTGTCCCGGCTACCGCTGTCACTGCTATCTTCCCAGTGACTTGAGACCACGCTGAGGACCGTGCACCTAGAATTAAAAGTGCAGGATACTGGAAGAGGAAAAGGGCACGAAAGCACGAGGACAGACCGATCCGCGGCAGCTGTAAAGGACTCGCCCACGTTATCTGCTCACCTTGGAGACGGCTTACTGCGTTTTTGACAAAGGGCAACATCGCGGAGAAGAAGATGGAAATGCGGTGACCGCAGCACTGCCTGAGTGCAAATTCGCCCCAGCTACCCTTGCAAAGAGCCCTGAAAAACAAAATGGCTTTCAGTAGGGATTCCGAACGGTATTTGGGGAGAGCTCGCGAGATTTGGCGGTTGACCTATAGAAATTGTGATCCTGTTTCCTGCGAGGGAAAAGAAAGGCCTTTGGGAAATGTAGTTTCGAGCTTCATAAGGGCCATAGACTAGTATTCATTGAAAACTGAGATAATTCTTTAAAGGAAGGTTTAGGACTCTACAAAAGAGAGCTGAGAGACACTGACCTTACATAAGGCACCAGCTTCAAGATTGTGTAAAAACTCCAGAGGTTTGGGTCTGGTGTCTCACTTCAAACTATTGTCACTTCAAATTTTTCATTTTCTGTTTCCTATTACCTATACTAATTGGCTTAACTTTTAATGATTTTTTTTGTAATTTTTTTGGGAGGGGTGATTGAGACAGGGTCTCTCTATGTAGTTTTAGCTGTCCTGGAACTCTCTATATAGACCAGGCTGGTCTCTAACGCACAGAGATCCTCCTGCCTCTGCCTCCCAAATGCTAGAATTAAAGGTGTGCACCACCATGCTCGTTTTAATTTTTAATCTTGAAATAACTCCAAATTTAGAAAAAGCCTGCAAAATTGCTTTGTTTTATTTTTGTTAAAAAAAAAATTAAAGGCTGGATATGGTGGTGCACGCCTTTAATCCCAGCACTCTTGAAGCAGAAGCAGGCAGATCTCTGCGAGCTTGAGGCCAGCCTGGTCTACATAGTGAATTCCATACAGCCAGGGTCATATAAAGAGACATTCTTTTTTTTTTTTTTTTTTTTTTTTTTTTTTTTTTTTTTTTTTTTTTTTTTTTTTTTTTTTTTTGGATTTGGTTTTTCAAGACAGGGTTTTCTCTGTGTAGCTTTGCAACTTTCCTGGATCTCGCTCTGTAGCCCAGGCTGGCCTCGAACTCACAAAGATCTGCCTGGCCTGGATTTAAACCCCTGGGATTAAAGGTGTGCACCACCACCACCACCAGGCTAAAGAGACATTCTTAAAGCCAGGTATAGTAGCATAATCTATAATCCCAGCACTCAAGATGGTGCAATAGAACAATTCCAAATTCAACTCCAGTGGATCCAACACCTTTTCCTGGACTTCAAGGGAATATGCATAATCAAAGTTTTAAAATGCTTTTAAAACAGAGATAGTAGCCTGGCGGTGGTGGCACATGCCTTTAATCCCAGCACTCGGAAAACAGAAGCAGGTGGATCTCTATGAGTTCCAGGCCAGCCTGGGCCACAGATTGAATTCCAGGACAGGCACCAAAGCTACACAAAAAAAACCCTGTCTCGAAAAACAAAAGCAAAAAACAGAGATAGTATACAATTTATTGTAATCAACACTTGGTGGACAGAAGAGAGGATGACCTACAAGACCAAGGGTAGCTTGGGCTACATAGTGAGGTCTAAGCCAGCCAGGGCTAGATAGAAAGACCGTGTTTCAAAAAAGACAAGGAAAATAAAAATAAAAAAGGAAAAATAACTAAGTTGCTAGCCAGATGCATATCTATACTCCCTCCTCAGAAGGTGAATGCAAGAAGAACAGAAGTCCAAGGCCATCCTCCACCGCAAAGCCTTCAATGCCTGAGATCCTGTCACCAAATAGGAAAACAAAATAATAAGATAAAATAAAATATTGAATGAATCTGAACCTTTGAGGTGAATATTTCCAGTATAATTGATTTAATCTTTCTCCATTTTGGGTACCTTCATAATAAAATATTAAAAGGACAGGATAGTGTATTTTGTCTTTTTCATGTATTTACATATGTGATACATTTTTTTTCCCAGAGCTGAGGACCAAACCCAGGGCTTTGTGCATGCTAGGCAAGCGCTCTACCACTGAGCTAAATCCCCAAACCCCATATGTGATATATATCTATATATCTATATATCTATATATCTATATATCTATATCTATCTATATATATATATATATGACTGTTGTATGACCACAATATAGTTACCAAATTGAAAAAAAGCTCTGATATAATACAGCTTATATTCCAATTTCACCAGGTTTTTCCAAGATCTTTATCCAGAATTCAATCTAAACCTCAACATTGAATTTAGTTACCATGTATCTTTAGACTCCTTTAAAAATCTATTGTTTTTCAGCCTTTCTTTGTCTTTCTGGCATTAATTTTTTTTATCCATAGACATAAGCTTGTTGTCTCAGTTTTACAAATGAAGAGAGTAAGATGCAGAATTCTTTTTTTTTTTTTTTGGTTTTTCGAGACAAGGTTTCTCTGTGTAGCTTTGCGCCTTTTCCTGGAACTCACTTGGTAGTCCAGGCTGGCCTCGAACTCACAGAGATCCGCCTGGCTCTGCCTCCCGAGTGCTGGGATTAAAGGCGTGCGCCACCACCGCCCGGCAAGATGCAGAATTCTTAAGTGATCTTGCTCAAGCTCGGATCAAGATTAATGTGAAGCAATTATAGTGTTTGAACTAGTAATGATGATGCTTAGGACTCTATGTGTCTGTGCTCTGATTTTTGAAAAATATAGACTGTTGATTTATCAACTTGCCTCTTTGTTTTTGAGTGATTCCATTCAATTTATGTACATCTGGCAAGAATACTATGGGGCCGGCGGTGGTGGCACATGCCTTTAATCCCAGAACTCAGGAGGCAGAGCCAGTCGGATCTCTGTGAGTTGGAAGCCAGCCTGGGCTACAGAGGTAGTTCCATAGACAGCCAGGACTGTTACACAGAGAAACTCTGTCTCGAAATAAATTAAATAAATAAATATGTTTAAAAAAGAAAGTATGCAGCTTTAGCATGTCCCATTATTGACAGTATGAACTTTAATCATTTAATTAAAGCACTGTGCTCCAGATTTATACACTTTAAAATCACTACACTCTCTTTGTAATTAAAAAGTATCTTGTGAGGAAAGGAGGGTTGTGTGCAAAAAAAAAAAAAAAAAAAAATACCCTGCATAGGGGTGTGTATTTTCAATTTTTTTCCTGAGTTCACATTAATAAAAAAAAAAGAGTAACATAAAGAATGCATTGTGACTCTCCTGTTCTGAATCAAGCTTCCATCCACTGTGTTTTATTATTATAGCCATTGGTGATTCTGTACCATATTCTGTCCAAATTGTCATATACCTGAAGCAGTCTAAGTCAGCATACAACAAAGACACTCAAACACCCATGCTTATTTTGGTATGTTTGTTTATGTATGTGTTTGTTTCGTTGTTTGAGACAAGATCTCATCCTGTAGCCCATGCTGACTTGGAATTTACTATGTAGCCAAGGCTGGTCTCAAGGCCTGCTTCAGCTTCCCAAGAGCTGCGATTATAGATGTGAGCTGCCACACTTTTAATTTAACCATTTTAAAATTTTGAGATAAGCTCTAAGTTGCCCACATTGCTGTTAACTCACTCTGTAGTTCAGGCAGACATTGAACTTACAAACCTCCTGCTTCAGCTTCCCAAGTAGCTGGAATTAAGCTGCCCTATGAGGCCCAGCTTAATATTTTCATATCCTATTTTCATATGTTTTTCTCTTCTTTGAAACTGGGACTCACCATGTAACCCAAGTGGGCCTCAAACTTTTGATTCTCGTGCTTTCAGCCTGCCAAGTGCTGGGATTCCTTGCATGGGCCACCACATATGGCTATTGCATTCTCTGTCTCTGTCTCTTCTCTCTGTTTTCTTGAGACAGGGTCTCTTGTAGCTCAGGGTGGAACTCCCTATGTAGCCCAGGCTAATACTGAACCCCTGCTCCTCTTGCCTCTATCTCTTGAGTGAGTGGATTGCAGGTCACCATGGTCATCTTCTTTCCTGTCTCTTTATGTTGAGACCAGTTACTTTCCTCTCATATCTCCTTAACTCTCCAAATAGTGGAATAACTCTGTGGGGATTTTGCTTTCCCATAGGACCTGAAAGAGTAATCACATAATATGTTCCACACACTCAAAATAAATGCAACTTGGGCTTGGGATGCAGCCCTGTGGTAAAATGCTTGCCTAGCTCGAGTGGGGTCCTGTACTAAATCCCCTGCACTGCAAAATAAATAAATCCAACTTATAAATAGGTTGCTTTTATTTTACTATCATTTTTTATTTTTCTTCTTGAGGGCATTATTATTATCTAGTGAATCACTTCTGTCTTATAATGCTCTATAATACAGTAAACAGAACTGGACCAAAAAATGGAATCTTCCTCAGCTGTAAAGCATTATCTTTAATTTTAGATGAGTATTGGATATTTGATGAAAACTGGCTGAGATCACTGAAGATCCTTAAAAAGAGGGAAATGCTTCTTCACAATCTTACTTTTGCTCCCACCAATAAAACAAACTAAATAGTAAAAAGACATGGGCTGTCTGTAAAGCCCTCTTGGTCCTCTAAGTTTTTAGTGAAGAGTTTTAAAATATCATTAATAAATTTAAAAAATTTCTTTAGGGTCCATGACGATTGTCTTTGTGTAGTTCCAAACTTAGTATATATGCTGCCAAGAAGGCAAAAAAAAAAATCCACTTTTAAAATTTTTATTTGCGTGTGTGTGTGTGTGTGTGTGTGTGTGTGTGTGTAGGCACACGTATACTTCTGGTGCATATGTGGAGGTCAGAGGACAATGTGCAAGAGTTGGTTCCCTTTCTACCTTGTGGACCTTGTGGAACTCAAATTGGGTTTGGCAGCAGGTGTCTTTACCAGCTGTGCTGAGCTAGCTCACCAGTCCACACTTTTGAGAGGTCTAGATTTGTAGCCCAGGCTGGCCTCAAACTTGTAGCAATCTAGCCTCAGCCTCCCAGTGCCTAGATTACAGTTTTTACTTTTTTCTTTCATTTTGATTTTAAATACTTTAGGGTCTCAGCTCCTATCACTCACGTGAGTGGGTACTAATAGGTTTTCTGTTCCCTGATAGTAGGGTTCTCGGCCAACTTAGTAAGTCAGATCAAGCCAAATTGAAAACGTAGAACCGGTTTATTTTAGCAAAGCTATTCTTGGGTGGGATCTCCAGTCCCAGAGATGAGTCGGGAGAAGCAAGGGAATTATATAGCCTGTAGGTGATGATGTGTCATCTCCCTAGACT